AATCATTGCAAACCATTCAGCTATAATTTGAAGAAGAAAATGCACATTAGGCCTAATGTCTGAAGTGGGCAAGCGGCAATAGGCCTAATGATCATTTAAAATATAATTTGAAGAAGTGTTTCTTTCACAAAATGAGTATTGTATATATAAAACTATAAAATATTGGCTTCTCAATTTTTCTCCCTCTTGCAGGCACTCATGTCGCTTCCATTTCTTTCGGGATAAATGAATGAATTCACGTGTTGTAAATCAGTCTGTAGGCCAATAGCGCACACAGCCCCTAAATTTAGTGATCAACTATGCATATTATAAACTTAACATTTAACATACAACATTTTTTTTCTATTAAAGGATTTTGTCTTTGTTACTCTTAGTTATAAAGGATGGTAGCGCAGCATACCGCTCACATATTTTTAAATCTGTTTCATTGAGGTTCCAAATAATGTCTTATTGGCTTAGATATAACACCTAGAAGCATATAGCTATTCTCATGCACGCATGCAGAGGCGGACAAAGTACTCAACTCTATTACTTGAGTGAAAGTACAGATACTGCTGGTCAAATATTACTCCATTACAAGTAAAAGTTGTAAAGACAGATTTTTACTTAAGTAAAAGATATGGTAATTAATACTGAGACACTAATTTGAACAAAAAGCACTAATGACTTGTTTAAGACTTGAATCTTAAAGCTGAGGACTTGCAACTCGCCTTGGTCTTGACTTGGGACTTAACTTGGGACTTGTCTGTCTTGACTCGGGACTTGACTCGAGACTTGAATGCAAAGACTCGAGACTTACTTGTGACTTGCAAAACAATGACTTGGTCCCACCTCTGATTCTTGGTACATTAACTGTAGGGAGAGTTTTTGATGGGGGGGGGATGACAGGGCCTCTCTATTCACGTTAATGACCTGTGGAGTAATCAGAGCTGAGTGTGAGAGAATTTCACAGATGTTTCTGCTTCTCTGTTTAATTCCCACACTCCACAAACACAGAGGCCCTTCTTCACACACCTTTCTGTGCTCTATGCTTGGACCCACCTTTGGTGATGAACTATTTTTTTTAAAACATTTTTTGTAACCTCACTTATTGTCCATTTTCTCCCTTTTGATAATCTCCGCCACTTCTTTCTCTATCTTTCCATTTTCTCTGCCTATTGTGCAGGAGCATGATGTAATTCTTAAGAATGGACTGGAGCTGATCAAAGGTCAGCTTCACTGTCATTCTGTCTACTTTCTCCAATGCAGCTCAATTCATATTGTGTATTGCTCCATCCTTTAGAGGTTGTTTTCATATTATCCTGTATTGTTGTTGTTGTTGTTGTTATTATTAATATTTTTTTTAGTTCTTCTTTAGCTTAAGTGGTATTGCATAGTGCAACACCAAGGTCGTGGGTTTGATTCCCAGTGAATACAAGACCTACCTGATAAAAGCATCTGCCAAATGCGTTAATAGAAATGACAGAGAATTTTTTTTTACCTCCATGATAATGAGAATGAAAGTCCTATGAAAAGCAAGCTTTATTCCTTAATGCATTTACATGTACAAAATCATTCACTAACTTGACCTTTCATGTTGTCGGGTTATTGAGCATAATTGGTGTAAGATGTTACATGTTTCCCAGCTTTTGAACCTTTCATTGTGTAGTGTTTTTTTGGGGCATATGAGCCCCATCTGCAAATAACAGTATGCCTGTTCACGTGTGACATAATAGAGATGCTGCCATGGCAACCAAGGGGACTTCAGAATGGAGCAGTTCGTCTGGGGTGCCGTTTCAAGAGCCTGGTTGTGTAAGACATTATGGGCTTGATTAGGCAGCAGCTGAAGTGGCTCTGAATGCTGTGTGTGAGGTGGCAGGGTGACGTGAGGCAGTGCCACACAGTCTGAGCTTTTGTTCTGGACTCAGTCGAGCTGACGGTGTGTCCTGTGCTCCCCTCGTACCATGACTGCATCTCTTCTCATTAGTCTGAATCAGATGTACCTACCCTGCCTCATGAGCAAGTTTGTAGAGAGAAGTGGCCTGTGTTCAGATTAATCATGATGTCCAGTCCAACCCTTTCTAAGTGAATCCGAAAAACAATGACTTTTGTGTCCATATAACAGAAATGCATGCATTAAAGTATTGGTTTATTATTAAATATTACAATGAAATAAAAATATAATAAAATAAAAAAAGTTTTCATAAAAATATTGATTTTAAATAAGAAAAAAAAAAATGTTCGTTGAGGTCTGAACCTGGGTCTCTTTAAATGTTAAATAATTTAGTATTTTTCTTGAAGTGAAACAACATTGCAGCTGGTGCCCCCCTCAATAAACAACGAAAAAAAGGTGCTTAAAACCTGTGGCTGTTTGAAAATGTAATGCTACTGTTATTTAACATACTTAATTCAATTTTTTTGTGTGCAAATATATTTATTTTTTTGCTCTTTGGTCAAATAATGGCACTTGATAAACACTTGCAGGTTATTCCTCAAGCTGGAATTTGATGGTCAGGTTTAGGGCATTGCATTGTGAAATACAGTATTTAACGCAGTGTTGTTGGTTTGTATACTGCACATTTTCACGAGTGTGGTTGGTCATCATGGTAAATGCATGATTTGTGTGGTACATACTGCTTAAATAGTACACAATATGCCTAGTGTGCCATTCCAGACACACTCGTGCTCTTTTTTTTATTTTTATTTTATTTATTTATTTTTTAAAGATTTTACTTTTAAAGAGCTGCTCTCTTTCACCAAGGCCTGCTGAATTGAGGTATTCTGAGGATGTCTCTTTCTTCCTGCAGAGTTTGGATTGTTTTACGTGAATCAGATTTGACCTAGATATCCACTCTTTTGTTATGAGAGTGGAAGGCTGTGTAGTTTCATAATGAAAAGCAGACTACAAGAGCCGTCCAGAAATCATTTGAGCAACAGTCTCTTCAAGAAAAGCACAATAGACTTTGCCAACTGCTGTTGATGTCAAACTGAAAAAGAGAAGTGGGAGTTTTCTCCTCATTCTGGAGACATTTACAATCAGATTGATTGTGGGCCAGTCGTTTTGATTTTATTTTGGCTCCGTTCTTAGTAATTAGTTCAGTGGGCTGTTTAATGAGCATTATATGACTGTAATTAATTCCCTCAGAGAATCCTCTGTTTCATGAGTTTAAGTCATTACACGGTGTTGCTTCTTGAATTTGTTTGACCACATTCACATTTTTAGCTAAGATGTGGCAAAAAGTGTCTTAATTAGGGCTGCAACTAATCGATAAAATCAGTAATGAAAATAATCAAATAAATTTAAATTTTTGATTAGTCTCATGTTACACAAACATCACCATTTTGCAAAAACGGAGACTTTAAGACAGTATACATTGTTCAATTAAATTTACTTCACTACTTCACATTACTTTTACAGTAAAGTCATTACTTTGTTGTAACATTTTAGATTTTAAACAGTATTTATCCACCGTGTATAGCAAGCATTTATAAAGATGTTGTTTTAAGAGCGTAAAAACGGATACTTGATCAACTTGATCAATTGAAAAAAACAATCAACTCAATAATCAATTATCAAAGCCTAGTCTGAAGCTTTTTCCCTTGAGGTAGTATGTTCCCAAATCAGATAGGAACACTTGGAATGCAACACTGTAAAATATTCCTTGACTTCGCATTAAGATATGGTGCTCCTGGGGTGGAGATGACTGGACTTCATAAAGACACTGCTGCCGTCACTCAGATACATTTCCTCTATGGACAGGTAAGACCATGTTTCAACCATTGTAGCTTATTAGGTGTTGGTGTGTGTGTTATTGAAGTTGTAGAGGTCTTTTATTTTGAAAGTTACCATTTGAACAGTTGTGTCTTTAAACCATACGAGTTTTTTTTTCTGTTTATAGGGGAGGATACTTTCTTTGTTGGATGATAACACCATTCATCTATGGGAGATTGTGCAGAGAGAAAACCGCTCACATTTAGTGGAGGTTCATAGCTTCAACCTGCCTGGCAGGCCAGGCATCGAGAGCACCAGGTAAGGTTTTGATCCTTATTCTGGTTGCATTTCCTCAAGTTTGCTTAGTGATGCCCTTTATCATCTTGTCCAAACCATGACCTTTATGTTGCTTCCTTCTCCTCCATAGTGCGACACGTGTGACCGTCATGCTGTTGAAGCTGAGCTGTGATCTTCTTGCTCTGGGCACTGAAGGTGGCGGAGTGCACTTCCTGGAACTGACCACCCTCACTTTGCTGAACAAGTCGCTGTTCCAGGATGAGATCATGCAGAGGTGAGAGGTGCCCTTTATTCCCGTGATGGCAAAGCTGATTTTTCAGCATCATTACTCCAGTCTTCAGTGTCACATGATCCTTCAGAAACCATTCTAATATACTGATTTGCTGTTCAAGAAACATTTCTCATCATTAAATGGAAACAGTTGTGTTGCTTGATATTCTCGTGGAAACGGTGATTCACGTTTTCATGATTCTTTGAATAGAAAGTTCAAAAGAACAGAATTTATTTTGAAATAGAAATTGCAGAGTAAAAGTATTCTCTAGTACAGTGGTTCTCAACCCGCGGAGTGCACTTCCTGGAAATATGAAAAACACTATGCGGCCGAATTCACTATCACGAATTCAAATGCGGCCCACCATGCTGAACACAATTAAAAAAAAAAAAACTTTCAGTTTTACAATTCATTTTAGTTTTTACATTAATTTAAAAATGTACTAAACAAATAGTACATTTCATATTTTCATAGTGTTTTTCATATTTTCAGACATGAGCAGACCTGTACTCAAGTAATTAACGTTATGCATTTAACGAACACTTACAAGCACGCACTTTGGCAGAATTCAATTCAAATAGTCATCAGCAGCCATTAGTTTGGTAAAATTGAGCTTCAGAATGGACACATTTGTTATTAAGGGAGAAAAACGTAATGTGGAAAATGCCAGTGAAGGAACGCATACAAACAAGAGTAGTCACAGCAGTGATGGTATGAGAGTGCTGGACTTTCGGCATTAACTTTTTGTTTGCCCCGCCACTCACTTGAAGATGTTTAGGCTAAGAGCCCTGCACAGGCCTCAAATATATGATGTTCAGGCCCTAGCCCCGCCCTTGTCCGACAGCTTATCAGAATTACCGGCCCGTCTTTTTTTCCCCCTTCTCCCAAAACAGCTTACTACTGTTTCATCTATATTAAAATAGTTCAGTTTTGTATGTAATGGCAAAGTGATTATATTTTGTTTCCTTTTTTTGTTAAGTTAATTTAGAAAAAACGTTTGGAGCATTTTTTGGTCGTTAAATATAGGTTTTTGTTTTTTTAAAGTAATGACCAAGCGGCCAGCGGCAGACAGTGAGC